TTTTTTATTTATTATTTTATTTATTTATTATTTATTTATTTTATTTATTTATTATTTTTATTATTATTTATTTTATTCATTTAATTATTTTATTGTTATTATTCATTTTATTTATTTATTTTTATTGTTATTATTTTTATTTATTAATTTTTTATTGTTATTATTTATTTTTATTTATTATTATTTTTTATTGTTATTATTTATTTTATTTTTTACTTTTTGAAGAGACTTACTTTTATAGGCCTATGGCGATGCGGGTCCTTGTAGCGCAGCCAAAGTAGGGCCGAGATGGACAGGAAGACGAACAAGGACTCGGCGAAGGACACATAATTGATCAGCACCAACGTGTCAGAAGTCACGAGCATACATAGCGTCATAAAACCCTGCAAAATGCCAAGGGATAATGTCATTAAAAAAAAATAAACGTTTGGGCAGTTCTATGTCATATTTATCAGTTCTATGTCATATGCCAAGGGATAATGTCATAAAAAAGCAAAACGTTTGATCAGTTCTATGTCATATTTCACGGATCGTTTTTTAAGGAAATGAGATCTGAGGTTGCAATTTGATTTCTGATTTTTAAAGGTATTTCGGGCATTTCAAGAAGTTTGGTTCATTTCAGTTTTTGACGGATCGTTTTCTGAGGAAGAAATGAGATCCAAGGCTGCAATTTGATCTCTGTTATTAGGGTATTTCAGGCAGTTTGGTTCATTGCAGTGGTCTAGAATGTCTTTTCTTTTCTCAAGTTATCCATCAGGAAGACAATACTTTGTTACGTTGCTTGTATTTCATATGGTCAAATCTAATATTACTAAGAGAAATTGCTACGGTTTTACGGCAATGAAGGGACACATTACGAATAAGCAGTGAAAAAATAACACCATAGCTATCTACGGCAAAACGTTACCGAAGAAATTAGCAAAGGAGAAAAGGCATTTGACCAGACCAACTAAGTCACTAACCCGCTCAGCAAAGGCCAACATACAGATACATTACCAAGAACAGAGGGGCAAAAAACAACAGAAAACTACATTAATAAGAGCACGGGGGCAAAAAACAACAGAAAAATACATTACCAAGAACATGAGGGCAAAAGCCAACAGGAAGATATTTTAACAAGAACACGAAGGCAAAGGCCAACAGAAAGACACATTACCAAAAACACAAAAAAACAACAGAGAGATACATTACCAAGAACACGAGGGCTGGAACGGGGGTGATGGTGTGCACGTTAATGAGCGCCAGGGCCTGAGGAAGGTGCCCCTCCCTCGCTCCCACGAAGAAGAGGCGAGAGCAGGCGAAGATGCAGCCGTTGAGACTCCCGAAGGTGGAGAGGGCGACGAAGATGGGCATGACCCAGTTCAGCACACCAAGGGCTCGACCGGCAAAGGACTGTGGGTGGTGTTATAGGTTTGTATAAGAAAATACACTCTGTGCTTTCTTTTGCGACGGGCATTTGAGTATGAAATAAAGTTTGAGGTATCAATTGATTGTACTCTGAAGTTAAAACTCAAGAATTTCCTGAAATACACTGCAGGACTACTATATCCAGTGTTTGAGTAGAATGATCAGTGAACCTTTTCTGTGCATAAAATCAATGCTAGATACTTATCTTAAGCTAAATATATATATATATATATATATATATAAATATATATATATATATATATATATATATATAGGGTCCGAGAATTTGTTTTAGGTTCCTTATAATTGTTTTCATGGCTTCTCTGCACTGAGTGAGGCCTTTACAACGCAGTCAGGTGGTATTCAGACAGAAAAAGAAAATGCTAAATGGCAAAAGCTATTCTTGGTCACTGGCAACAAATGGTATTATAAAAAGCAGCTCTGCCTTTAGCTACAAACATATTCTACTAAGATCCCATTCCAACAATCATTTTATAGGTCTACCTACCACCCACATTCGATTCAATAGGCCGGTTTGTTAAGATTGCGCGAGGCCCGACCCAATGAATATTCGTATCTACAGACACGTATATACATAAAAAATAAAGGCATATCTATCTATCTATCAACACTTATACATATATCTCTCTATCTAGACGGTAGATATATGCATTTTTTTCAGTCTATATGCGTCCGTATAATGAATATTTATTGGGTCGGGCCTCGCACATATTGAACAAACCGGCCGAATATAGTTAGTTTTGGATTAAAAGGAATGTGACTGACGCATTTGACGTATTCTGTTCAAAGGCTCATGATTAGCTTTCTATGACCTACAGACGACTCAAAAATGATTTTGTTTACCAGAAGACTTCGTGAGAACAAGGTCTTCGAGTGTTAACCTCGTTATAAAACCAGACCTCGTATAAAACCTCTTTTTTTACAGTGACAGTCCCTTGTGAAGTTGAATGCCTACTCCCCCAGCATAGTCTATCTCTTTAGTGCTTCGTATCTCGGTACGTAGGGGCTATTCAGTGACTCATAGTGTGTGTGTGGGGGGGGGGGTCGTTAATGAAGGGTTTGATTGTTTGTT